TAGAGTTAACTGGTAGATAGTGAAAGCAGATCGAAGATTGACACCTCTGCCCTCCTAGGCTTGTTTATTGTGGTGGTGGGGATGGAATCCAGGCCTGTGCACACCAGGCAAGTGATCTGCCTCTCACTACCTATCTAGTCCCTTGGTGTTTTGAGGCTGGCTTCAAAGTCACAATCCTCCTGCCTCCCCCCCCCCCCCCCAGTACTCAGATTACAGGCTTGGGCCACCACACCCCGCAAGTTATAGAGCATTTATAATATGTTTAAATATCTGCCACCCTCTTTATTTCCCTCTTGCTCTTGCTATTTTTTTTTCTTTTCTGGATCTTTTTACCTTTTTGTTCCTACAAATAACATTTATGGTCAACTTACCTAGCTAAAGGTGAAAGAAACTGGAATAAAAATTAGAATTTGCATTAATTTTATCAATTCCAATTTTAATTTAATTTACATTAGCTTTATAAATTTGGATTAAATTTTTAAAATAACTCAGGGAAGCTGCTGTCTTTAAGTTACCAAACCTTTCAATTTAGGAACATGATATTTCTTTTCATTTCAAGACTTTGGGTTTTTAAAAGGGTTATATCCATAGAATTTGGATCCTTCTTAAGTTTCTTCAGAGGCATTTTATATTGAGAATATGCTAAATGAATTTATCAGTTCAGTTATTATATATATATATATTATTTACATAAATGAACAGCATTTTTTGATGGAATTCTATAACCTGTGACTTAAAGTTTATTGTTTATTGTACAATTTTTACATTGAGCTCCCTAGGTTATTTAGAAAGAACCAGTGTTTTTCTCTTTCTCTCTAATTCTTACACTTTTCTATTCTGATTGCATAGGCCACCATCTCTAACCAGCTCCACAGTAGCAGACACAGTATATATTCTTTCCTCAATTCTAATTTCTCAAGTGGGCCTCTAATGCATCCTCTTTAGAGATACTTTATCATGTCAAAGACATCTCCAAAAATCCTCATTACCATGAGAAACAGAGAAATGCAGACATCATTGCAGAAGCTGACTGGCTTAAGTCACATTGGTGGCAAGTGACAGGGTCTGAGCTTAACCTTGGGACCGTTTGGTTTCAAAGTTCCCAGTCTTTGTACCACTTCTGTTTTTTTCATTACACGGACCAACGTGTCCCCCCCTTTCTTCAACAAGAGCCCCACATTGCAAGGTATTCTAAGATTTAAGAGTGACCGAGTGGGGTGTATGGAGAGAGGCGCATGAGCCACAGGTTTGCCTCTTCTGTGCTTTCTCAGTCTTTCTTCTCAGATACACTCTATACAGCTAGCGCTCTCAGGGAATCAGAGGCTTCCCTTCTTAGACAACTTAGGACCACTGCTAAGTAGTGGCCGCATGCTCCCTTTCCTTCTCCAACTTACTGAAAATGTTCTTCCATCTTAGCTATCCCCGTCCCTAAGAATTTCCCCAAATATCTGCTCCCCTTTGTCATGACGTTTTTAACCACATTGTAGTGTCCTCCAACGCTTAGCTGGGAGTCACTGCCCCACAGTCTAGCCTGCCAAACTATGTTTTATAAAAAATATAAGGATTGATCAAGATGTGGAGGTACAAGTCTATAATCCTAGCACCTAGGAGGCTGAGACAGGAGAATTGCTGCAAGTTTGAGTCTAGCCTGGGCTTACATAGTAATTGCCATTCTAGCCAGGACCCTGTATCAACAAACACACAGAGCACCTATGCACACGCATACGTGTGTGCACATTAAACAAGAAAAGGAAGAGCAATTGAATATTTTTCCTTGGGAAATACATGTAGGGTTTTGTAGACATTAAAACAGCCCAGAGTTCGGCTCTGCCCCTGTGGCCTCCTTTCAGAGACAACAAACAGGGTGTCGGTCTCAATGCTGACCCCATTGCCTTTTTCACTCAGTGGGTGAGGTCAACTGTCAGTGTGGTTGCAACGCCAGGCCCACAGTTTCCATGGTGAGAGAATGGGTCACTGAATGGCACCCTCAGGCTTCTAGCAGTTTCTCCAAACAGACAAATGTCCAGCATATAGGCTGTCTCTCCAAGGGAGAGAAAATAGGGCCACAACAAGCGGTTTTGAGGCTTTTCAATAATTTTTATTTCGGTTTGCCTTTTCCCTGTGGAGAGTCCAGTACCTCTCCTCCATATACAGTTCTGGAGCTCCATATCCGCTTCTTTTCCTCAGGGAGTTTCTCCCTCACCCTGGCTGAGCTCCCTCGTGCACTGACATTCACTCCACCAATGCTCATCTTGGCTGTTTTATCTGCAGCTGGGCACAGGGAGGTCTCTCGGTGCAAGCTTGTGTTTGGCTATTGAGGGAAAAAGAATCTATTGCTGCTGCCAGAGCTGGTTCTTGATAGGAACCTGCTTGATAGGAAAAGTCAGGAGCTCAGAGCAAGGAAGCAGAGCCTCCTCCCATTGGACCAGGAGTTGGGTTTCCTGGTCCTTTGGTCTCAGAGGCCATGCCCTGGGACTTTTCCCACTTGCTTTCAGTGCTGAGCAGGAGAAGGGGCTGAGGAATCAGGAGCGTGAATCTTAAAATCGAGGAAGAGAATGGGGGGGAGGTGGATGTGTCTGTTCCTATCTAGGCGTTTATGGATGCTTTCGAGAAAAATGGCTGCCATTTTGGACTTTGACCACCAGGAGCAGAAGCTGAAGTCTTGGTGTCCATTCTTCATGACTGTTCTATTGAGGTCTTTTATAGCTGTCTAGTCTATGGGTTACAGAGTTGCTGAATTGTGGAGAAATTATTTAATCCACAGTTTGTGGATGAGAAACTGAGGCTTAGGCACTGTAGAAGTTTTCGTAGCCAGTCACAATATCTTCTCACTAGGCTCTGTGGCTGAACTTTCTAACCACGATGTGATGTCTGGTTCCCTCCCGGCACATGTGCATGGCATCCAGGTGTCATACTGTCTAGCAGATGCCGCTGGCCTGGAATATCTGAGATATTCTAGGGGTTAATATGTCATACGTATCTGAAATCTAGATAGTTGCGAGGATTCCCTGAGGATTGGCTACCTCTTAGACAGGCTGTGAGACCCTGGAAGTTTGAGACTCTCTCTCACAACAATGTGGGCAGAGCAGTTACACCAGCCAGAGGATGGTATTGTACCCTCCTTCTCTTGGATGTGTGTGTGTGTGTGTGTGTGTGTGTGTGTGTGTGTGTGTGTGTGTGCTAAGAACCATAAAGGCAAGCATCATGGGGTAAAATGGGGACTCCTTGTCTGCCCCTGCTTGACACCACCCAACCACATACAGATAGTTTGTAACCTCTCAGGTTTCATGCCTGACTCCAGGGAGCAAATGGGATTGGGCTGCTTCTGGCTAGATGAGAGACTGATTTAGTGTGCAGGGATCCCAAGGTCAGCATTTGGGGAGGAAGGGGAGAGAGAAGTCAGTTGCCCACAAAGAGACCACCTGAGACGGGCAATTTTGCTATGATTCCAGCCTTGAGACCACAGCTTGCGGGCAGAACTGAGGGATGAGCTTAAAGCTCTACAGAGAATATCCCAGAGAATAGGATGCAGCCCTGAGCTGGTGAGGAGGACAGGAGGCTTCTGCATCCCTGCCTGGCAAGATGGCTGTCTGCTGTACGTAGTGATCAGAAGGAATAGAACCCAAGTAAAGCAAAAATGTCAAGTCCTTTGTCTCATAACCACATCCCAAGGGCTCGGTTGCCACAGAAGGTGTTGCGTAGCTCTTTTCTGAGTTGAAATGTAGTCCCTTTGGGAGGGAGGAGGGTGATTCCTAAGATCAGGAAGCTTAAGGAAACTTACTAAGCTCAGGAAGTTATGAGTGTTCCCCCCCAGTTATATATGCATATGATAAACCCTTGTTGGGGAAGAGAGACTTCCACAGAGCTGCCTGCAACTTGGGCAGGGAGCTCCAGGGGTGCAGCTTTCATGAGCCCCACCCATGTGCTTTTCAGGGATGCAGCTTTGAATCAATTATACCCCTGTAAGTAACCCCAAGGAACTCACTGGTCACCAACCTAGATTTGAGTAGATTCTTTGATCTGTTGGTGGCACCCTGTCTGGGATGCAAGTGTCCTTGTTCATATCTGCTCAGGAGAAGTCACATAACAGATGGCCAAGACTAAGACATTTCTGCCATCCAGACAGTTCTATTTAAGTCTAAACTGTTGTGCTGGTATTTTTATATTGATTTCGTGCTGAAATAATTTTTTGTTACATTGAGTTAAATAAGATAATATTAACACCAACTTCACCTATTTTTACACATGTACACACAAGTACACCCCTACTAGGTAATAGGAAATTGAAAATTACCAGTATACCATATTCCCATTGATCCCTAATGCCCATTATACATGGGTACAGAAGCACACCTTCATTTAGCCATCATTTAATAGCACATCCACTCAATGGTGTTCGGGTCTATGATGGCTTGAAAACACTTTACAGTGACAGTGACAGAGGCAGCCCCAGATAACAGCACAAATGCAACTTTGAGGAGAGAAAAGCCAGGTTCAGATATTGGCCGCGTCTTTCTATTACAGTGGTTCTTGACGTTCCTGAGGCTTCAACCCTTTAATACAGCTCCTCCTGCAGCAGTGACCTCCCCCCAGCCTTAAAATTATTTCATGCTACTTCATGACTGTCACTTTGCTACTGTTATGAATCATAATGTGAATCTCTGATCTGTAGGATACCTGCTATGCAACCCACGGGTTGAAAACTACCGCTTGGTTAGCTTGTGAACCTGGGCCACGTCCACGGTTTTCTTATTTGAAAAGTATACGCATTGCTAGTTTGGTCACAGAGCACTGTTGGAATGATTTGGGGGTGGTGCTATGCCTCAGGGTCCTGGTCCCTCGTCATCCTCAGGGAATGACAGCTAAGGTTATCATTAGGCCACCGGCAGTCTGGGTACGAGAATGGTCAGCTTTCCTGGCCTCAGACTCCTCCCCACCTTTTCTGCAGCCTTCAGCATCTCCTCTCAGGACTCCTTTAGAGGCACAGCTGGAGGACTTACCTGCTGGTAGCTGCTGGCCCAGGAGGCTCGAAGGGCATCCCAGTCTCCAGAGCGCTTGGCCTTGCTCTCCAGGTGAGCTCGTAGTTGTGTTTCCAGCTCTCGGCTGACTTGTTCCAGAGTGTGCACCTTGGTCATATATTCCACGAGACAGCCCCCCAGGTTTTCAACAGCAGTGTGATCCCTTTCTGGGCCTGGAGCGGGCACACTGGCAAGGCTTGAGCTCCGTAGGCCCTGCAGGAAGACACTGCTGATGCCTAGGGCCCGGCGGGTTACTCGGGCACTGAGGCCACCTATGCACCCACTGGGTGCTGCTCCTACATAGACTCCGGGTGTACGGATGAGGCTACCCACAGCACTGGTTCTAGAAGCTGGGGGGCTCTCAAGGGAGGATGGAGAGCGTGTCCCCCTGAGGGACCCTCTGTGCCTCTGCAGGGGCATGCTGGAGTTGGCTCCGGGTGGCAAGTCCACGGCCACTCTCCTCTCGCTCATCATTCTCTCTGCCTCTGTGGTGCCCAGCAGGTTTACAGGGTCCAGGGGCTTTGGTTGCTAGCCCCAGCATCCCTATGGCCTGGTCATGGGCCTCTCTGGAAGCTCCCCTGTCCCTGTGTTCTTTGTCTACTGCCTTCCACAAGCTTCTGTCATTCATTGAGCTGGAAGAGAACCACCCCACCAGCCTGTGAGAGGCACACAGGCATTCTCTGACACTAGGTCATGTGCCCAACCATCTAGACTTTTCTGTTGGCGGGGGAGGGTGCTGGAGCAGAACAGGTTGTGGGGATGAATCATCCAGATTTGCCTATTTATTTTAGACAGGGTCTCTAACTGAGGTGGCCCCAAAATCTGTACGTAGCCAGGATGACCTTGAACTTCTGATCTTCCTCCAATAATTCCTGCCATAGAATCCAGGGTCTCACACATACGAAGTGAATACTCTATATCCCTAACTTTGGGTTTGTGTGTCTTGCTGCCATCGAGGGGGGGGCAGGCAGGCAATAAGCAGTTCTGTTTCACTGGTGAGGAAAACAGGCGTGAGGACCTTAGATGGCACGTGTACTGATCGCCTTCTCCAGATCTCAGGATACAAGCCGGGGACTCAGAGGCTTTCCGCATACCTTCTTTTTTTTTTTTCTTATTTATTTATTTATTATGTATACAATATTCTGTCTGTGTGTATGTCTGCAGGCCAGAAGAGGGCACCAGACCTCATTACAGATGGTTGTGAGCCACCATGTGGTTGCCGGGAATTGAACTCAGGACCTTTGGAAGAGCAGGCAATGCTCTTAACCACCGAGCCATCTCTCCAGCCCCTCCGCATACCTTCTTATGCTGAGGTAGGGGTGTGTGTGTGCAGGTGTGTGTGCATCCACACAGGATCAGAGGGCAGACATGGATGGAGAAAGGCTGCCCCAAAGACCCAAGGGACACAAAACAAGCCTGCTGCGGTCTTCTTCCCCCAGGCCTGGCAGCTATTCCAACCCTTCCAACTTCTCTCTCTCTCCCTCCTCCTCACGTCTGCCCTCTGACACACTGCTTGTCAGCTGCTGGCCCTCAGCCATGTTTCTCCTCCTCTAGACCTTGCTGTACATCTGCCTGATTGCTAACTCTGACACATCAGACACTCTGGAGCCAGATTAGGACCGGAACTGCTGGGCAGCCATTTGTTAGACTCTGGTCCCTTTTCCACCTCTGTCTCCCCCTCTAATAAGACCAAGAAGCAATTTCTGGAAAGCACCCATGGGTGTTACATGCTAGGGTTTGCTGGGCACCCCAGGTTTTAATCCTTGCCCTTGGCAGGCTCCAAGTCACACTATCCTTTTTGGGGGGCTAACCTGGTTTCTCCAGCTTGGGCATGTGCTGAGGTTTTGGTGTATTGAAACTAGGCATCCCAGGTCTAGAGATAGACATATTTCTTATTCTGTAATGTGAGGATGGAACCCAGGCAAGAGAAGGGAACAGGAGTCAACTTCTGGTAGGTACAGAGCACGCCCTAGTTCTGAGCACAATTCCACGCTCTATCTCCCTGACGTTTCCATCCAACTTTAGAAGGTAGGAAACTCTCGCATTGACAAGTACTGCTGCTTGGGTGCACACTGTACGATTCCAGAAGTATTATCTCAAAGATACTATGACTCTCTCTGTGACAAAAGGCCGAGAGCCCACGTCCAGGATGTAGCAGAGCTGAGAACGCCTCTCTGTTCTGGAGACTTACATAAGGTTGTCTCTAGCATCTGCCAATTGCCAGGGTCACAGGTCCTACTTATCTGCTAGAGCACTCTGTGGACTCTTCTGTCCATGAACCTTTCAACCTTCCCCCTTCCACTTCGTTCACTGAGACGATGTAGGAAGCACTCGGTTAGTTTTGTACATGTGAGGCCAGAGATCAAATTTAGGGCTGTCCTTGGGATCTACCCACTTTATTTTTTTTCAGATGGGGTCTCTTATTGGCCTGGAACCCATCAATTAGGCTAGACTTGTTGGTCAGTGAGCCCCAGGGATCTGCTTGGCTCTGCCTCCCTAGTGCTGGGAACAGAAGCACGCGTCAGAAAACCCAGGTATTTTACGTGAATTCTGGGGATCAAACTTGGATCTTCATGATTGTAAGGTACTTAATTGAGGTCCACCTACCATTAAATATCAGTGTTATTTGATTAACTGATTAAGGAGCCAACTGAGTCAAGCAAAGGGCAGTAGCTTATAGGCCTTAGCTTACATGGGTGTGGCACTCTTCCTAAGAATACCATCTCTGCCACTCCCATGGTGCCCTGGTAACAGCCTCCTAATACAGTTGGTACTGCTGGGTCCCATGGAGCCGCATTTCAGTCAGCTCTGGATGAATTGTCTAAGGCTAAACGAAGGGCTCAAGCTACTGATGATAAAGGTGTTATGTGGCCCAGGCACTGTTACCACCCCGGGAATGGAAATGATCAGTGGTTTTGGACACTCTTAGACCCAAAGACATTTTCATTTCAAATCTACCCAGTCCCCTGGAGATGGGGACAGGCAAAGGGAGGCACCTCATGGATCCCAATGTTTGGAAGATCAGAAGAGAGCAAACTCTTCCATAGAAAAACCACCCTCTTATTCTAAAAGAGCAGTTTTACCAAATAACTCGGTGGCCCTGTAAACTCATCACAGTTGTGAAATTCAATATAATGTTCAATTAGATAAAAAATTATACATGGAAATAGGATGGTTATGGGTACCACTGAAGGGGAGACTCAAAGGTTATCATAAAAAGAATGCAAAATGTATTAGCAACTTGCTCCTCTGGGTAATAAAATAAGTTTATTTATATATACATGGTAGCTGAATTCTGTGGATACGGAAAAATAAGTCATACATCCACAAATGTATATATAACATATGTATCTTCGATGACATATATTATATATAAATTTTACTTTACAAACAAGTTTTCTCTATACATACTCACACACATTGGCATAGTCAATGCAATAGCTAACAGAAATATTATGATAAGGTTAAGGTTGGACAGCAACATGTGAGAGAGCGAATCTTGGCACAACATTTAACCTGCTGCGTTTGTGGGGTGAAGTCTTTGAAAAGAGACAAGCAGACTCATGTTCAGTAGGTCCACACAACATTGAGAACACATGTTAATTCTGAAGGCCACCTTTCTGTCTGAAAGGAGAATGAAGGAGGAGAGGAAGTTGTGGTAAGAAGACCACAGCAACAACACAGACATTGAAATCAACAATCAATTCAAGTCCCAATCTGACAATAAGAACATCTATATTCAAAATATACTATCAAACTATTTTTCTTTTAAGGGGGCATTGAAGAAGTTGGATTCCTAGCCATGGTGGGCTAGGAAGGGAACAGAGAAAGAGGCTGCCTCCCACAGCCCCTCTTGGGTCTCTGAGAGTCCGCTCCCTATTGGCCACACTGGGTATAGTGTGAGCTGGGAATGCAGTTGGACCTAGACCAGGGGAACAAGAGAAGGGAGGCAGGGGACAGTGAAAGCTGATAGCAAGTTCATGGGTAGGTCTGCAGCGCTTCTGCCTGTAGACAGAATGGCACTTCTCTCGAGCGATTCATTTGGCAATCTTTTTCTTTAAAGATTTAATGGAAAAGGTTAAAAAAAAAATAGTTCTACACCGCCAGGCTTTCTTTATAGACCGGTTTCTTAGGGGGCATAACATCATTGCCTTTAGAGAGAGCAATACAGAATCTCAATAAATACTTGTCCCTTGAACAGGGAAGATCAAGTGTGGTACAGCCCCAAGGCTGGTCTCTGCATCCATCCTCCCAGTGAGAGAGCCATGGGGTCCAGGGGGAGGGGGAGGCATTGGGAAGGGATGCAGGGAAGGGTTTCTAGGGAGCACTTTCTTGCTAGACAAACGCAGTCCCGTTTGTTCTAGCAGGGTGGGAGCACCCTGTGGGGTGATGTAAGGGGCCTGGAACCCCATGATGCCTTGATGTCTCCCATAGAGCCATTAAACTTGACATTCAGAGATGGCACAGTGAGGCTCCAGGGTGGCAAGTTCCCTTCTGTTTTGTCTGCTTGCCTGTGTCTTCCGCTTTGGCTCCCCAGTTCCCTCCACTAGTATACACACATGGGGACAGGAAGTGCAGACATATTGAGCCAAGGGAACCAGAGCTTCAGGGACACACAAGGGCCACTCACTTGGCCATCAAGCCATTCAGCTTCCATGGGGGACTGGTCTCTTTCCTCACCTGCCCAGGGCTCCTGGGACCCCTACGTGCCCAGAACAGCCAAGAGAAGCAATCAGTGCAACTGCTTTGCTTAGAAATACCTTTATTTTATAAAGCCATGGGTCATTCTGTAAATTTTTTTTTTAAACCACACTTGTAAAAAAGATGTTGACAATTCTTAAGAAAAAAAGCTGAAAATGTTTCTTATTAAGTCAGGGTTACACAAAGGTTATATTTATAATATATATATTTGTATATTTATAATTTAGAGACAAAAAATAGGGAGTGGCAACGCAGAGGCTGCTGCATCTAGATCTCAGAAACTTGATCGGTTCCCACGAACAGTGTTTCCTGGCAGAAGGGGTTCACAAGGACCATCCCAGTGTCTCGATAGTCGCCATTGGCTGGGGAGCGGGGCTCTGAGAGCTGGTCCTGGGGAGAGAGCAGGGAAGATGGTGTGAGCTGGGGGTGGAATGAGGGCTGACTGCTCTTTGAGAAATGCACAGATATAGCCAGGTGTGGTAGCACACATAACCCCAGCATTCTAGAGGGTTGTAAGTTCAAGGCCAGCCTGAGCTCAACAAGTCAGGCAAGTAAGCACACAATAAGAAAATGAACACACATATGCACAGGCACACATGCACGTGCATAACACACACACACACACACACACACACACACACACACACACACACGCACGCACGCGCACACACACCCCTTACTGCCTTAGTGAGCAACAGTTGATGTCCTTGGACTCCAGGCTTTACTTCCTGCCTATTTCTCACGCAAATTCGCAGCTCCCCCCCACCCCCCAAATACAGCTATGGGTACCACCGTACTACCTTTCAGAGTCTCACAGGCCCAACAGTCTTCGGAGCCCAGTTCAGCCTCCACTTAAGCCCCACCCCCTCAGACTGGTAAGACTCAACAACACAAGCACCCACATGGACAGACCCCATCTCTGTGTAACAGTGCCCTATTTGGTAAGTGAAGACAAAGAAACAAAACCACCCCTCCCCCCACTCTCAATCTGTCTGCTAAGCCCCAGGGTAGGAAAGCCTTTAAACAGGCCCCCATGCTGCTCAAAAGGGACTTGAGCTTGGGAGGCTTCAATAGGGTTTCCATCTCAGCTACCAGGGACTACAAACACTTGTGGGCTACTAATGGTAGTTTCCGGATCCTCAGATATTAACTTAGGGAAAAGACAGACCAGCAAGCGCCTGAGTAAATGCCAAACCACCAAAGCCTCAGAATGTCCAGGCTATTTCAAAGCTAGTGAGCTCACAGCGCGGCAACAAGCCTGTGTATGCTGGCCCGGGCTAGACTTCTCAGGAACAGCTTCGTTTATGAAGCCACAATTCATTCTCTGATGTTTATCTTTAAACACAACAGACAAAAGACAGTTCCTGAGGAGGAGCACTGGCTGCTTTAATGGGTGGTCGGGAGAAGAGGAAACTGTGTTGTTGAGAAAATGTCTTTTCAGGAGACAGACATGTTCCTCAAGGGCTGACTGGCCATGTCACACCAGAAGGGTGCACAGAAGCTTGGCTCTTCTCACCAGAGAAGAGATGTCCTTTTCTGTACTCTTGGACTGAGCTGCGAGGGGTTTGGAGGTTGAAATCTGGCTTGTATTGCTTTACAGTTTTAATAAGGGCAAGTATGGACCAGTGGTGAACCTGGATAGGGGATGTATGGGGGGGCACTACACGAAAAAAGAAAGGTATTTAGGAAGTAACCAAGACAATAAAGGGGGAAGGGGAGCAGGAAGGAAAGGGAGGGAGGGAGGAAAAGGATGAAAAACCAGAAAAGTAGTCAAGTCCCTTGGGCACTGTGATCCGCCATTCTAGCGTGTAGCTACTTTTATCATCAAAGCAGGATGGGAGTCAGGCACAGGTGCTTTCTTAGGCAAGGCATGAGGGAGCATCTGGATGGCAGGTGCATGTCTGAGGATCCTGTGGGTGGTCTACAGGGCAAGGATGCCCCCAGCAGCTTCTATCCTGGCTCCGAGTGACCTATATTTTGACCCACACAGCATAAGTTGTGTGTGTTGGAACAGATCATAGTCCTTTCAGAAATACAGCAGAGCCAAGGGAGTAGACTGGAGGGGTTGGGGGTGGGGGGCAAGGGCACACTCTGAAGCCAAACCTGGCATACTACTTGTGTGACTTTTGTGGTGCATTCTGTTCATGAGACTGGCCAGGCGGCCCTTCTCCTGGGAGTCCCCTGGCCTGGTGCTGGCTTTAGACCAGGAGCCCCAGCTCCCATCCCTCCATCCCTTTTTCTTCTACAAGTAGAACACCATGGTGTTCTTCAAGCGGAACTTTTCTACAACATCTTTATGGGTTCTGCTCTTCAGGGGTCATTTCCCCATTTACAGAGAAAATATAAGAAATTTAAGCTTCGCTGCCCAGATTCAAACCTTTCTCAGATTTTCCACTTACTCTAAGAAAAATGCGCGCTGGCTTCTCACCTAAATGAAAATCTTCACGAAGTCTGTCTTACTACCGGCTCTTTGATTATTACCTTTTATTGAGTAACTACTGCTGTAGGCTCTGAACCGAGTAGGGTGAGTCATAGTGGTCTTTTTCACGCATGGTTCATTCATCTGTTGTATGTTTGCTACAGATCACCATGGGCCAGGCTAGGCACAGTTCTAGATGCTGGGAATGAAGGAAGGAATTCAACCAACAAGGCTTCTGCTCCTGGGCCCTTATATTTCAACAACGAGAGGAAGATAAATGTGTCACCAGAGCACTAGGCTGCAATGCTCCTGGTGAGCAGGGCTAAAAGGAGAAAGCAAGCAGGGATGGGGGAAGATGATGAGGGCGTAGCTCTAATGGGCTTAGGGCAGAAAGGCTCCTTAGGGAGACCTGCAGGAAGTAATCTAGGTGTTAGGGGCTAGGAGAGACTGGGGATTGGTAGGAGGTTGTGAGACCAGCTCATGAAGGGACTGGAAAGAGGAACTGAGCTTTTTTCTTTGTGTGTGTGTGTGTGTGTGCGCGCGCGCGCGCGCATGTGTACAGTCAACCTGGGTTGTGTAAAAAGTCAACCACAGGTGGGGTTCTACGGGAGTCAGCTCGAAACAGGATCTTTCACTGGGAATCGTGTGCTTCATGATTAGATTAGGCTGGCTGGCTAGGAAGTCCCAGGAATCCTCCTGCCTCCACTGGCCAAGTGTTGGCAAGTTCATGCACCACCATACTGGGATTTTTACACAAGCTGTAGAGATCTCTCCCTTTCTCTTTCTCCCCCTCCCTCCCAGTCTCTTTCTCTCCCAGCCTGTGTGTGTGTATGTGTCTCATGCAGCCCACGCTGACCTTGAACTTCCAAAGTAGCTGAGTAGCTTGGACTTCTGCTCTTCCTACCTCTGCCACCCCGGTGCTGGGACCACAGGTGTGCATCACCACATCCAACCTTAGCTCCTTGTTACTGCAGAGAGGAGTCACTCAGGAGCTGGGATCCATGGCTAATGGGGTCATGCTTTTGAGAGGTCATCTGGCTCCCACGTGGGGTCTGCCGGAGGTGTGAGCGGATGGACAGGTTGCTCTCCTAGCCATCAGGGTGTGATAGAGGAGAGGGCCACGTGCAGGAATGAGAGCAGCTCATGCTTAGGAAGAACCGACAGAATCTGCCAACAGACATGCCAAGAGCATGCAAGATGGCGCTGGGGGAACTAGCAGTGTTGTGTATGCCACCAGGAACACCAGGTGAGCTTGAGGCTGGGACCAGGGGTGGGCATCAAGGGTTTCATTTTGGGTCAATGAATTTGAGTCTCAGTTAGGCTGGTATGTGGCTGAGTTCAGGGGAGACATCAGAGCTGCGGACGGGAAATATGGTACCGGTGCTCCAGCAATAGCAATTATGTCATACACCTAAGAGAAACAAGAGGAGCCATAGCAGCTGAGCCTGGGACTCAGCGATGAGCAGTCTGACAGTATAAGACTTAATATTCCCAAATTGAGAAGGAGCTGCCAGGAGTAGGGACTTCAGGTAGACTGGCAGTCACAGAGTAAACACCAGGATGGGAAAGTGGGGGACACTGATGCTCCGGCAAGAGGGCCACATCCAACCTGGCGGGTTACACAGAGACTCGCGCAGCCGTGCTCGGAAAATGGGTTAAAGAAGGCGAGCTGGGTGCTCCCTTTGGCAGCACATAGACTAAAACTGGAACAATACAGAGAGGATTAGCATGGCTCCTGTGTAAGAAAAAAAGGGTGGTCCACGGAGGGAGAGAAGACTGGAGGAGAGGGGACAGTTCACACACAGACCTGCGAGGGGTGCTGTGGAGGAAGGGATGTCCAGTGTGGAGGGGTGGAGCTTCCTAAATGAGGAAGAAAGGGGCAGGTGTCCTGTGAGGCCAGAAAGTTGGCTGCTGGGGTGGTAAGGGGTTGGGAGGGGCTGGTCTCCCTCAGGTCACCTAAAACCTTAATCCTTAAGTGGGGAACTCAGCTGGGTTTTGAACAAGGGAACAATGTGGTTGCATTCCATTACTGAAGCTCATCCTAGAGGCCCAAGAAGGGAGGCGCAGGGTAGGCAAGATACACTGTCACAGCAACTCAGCTCGGCTGCCCCCCCATCTCTCTCCTGAACCATCTCCAAGGTGTCTGTCTTCCTTTGCCAGCCTACCTAGCAAAACCCAAACCCTCCCTGTGCCTCTTGCAGGGCTTTCTCCCCTGCATTTCATCAGTTACTATTTTAATTTGCTTTCGAATGACACCAAGCTTCATCTCCCAGCCACAGTTCAGAACTGGAAGTCCCTGGAGAGCATACTTTCATCTTCCCTGTCCCCAGAGACTGCTTGCCACAAAACATTTCCTCAGTAAACATTTGTTACTTATTCCCAGACTGACAACAGTTTCCCCAGACTTTGGTGTGCAGAAATTATCCCCGGCTCTTGCTTCAGAATCAGATCCCGAGTTTGGTTGGGCTGGGGCAGGAGGAGAAGCTCCTGGCCCACAAAGCACTGCGGAGGAGCAGGACTCAGGGCTCTCTGTGGAGAGTGACCCTGGAGGTGTGGGGCTGTTACCTCTGAGGTCTCCAGGGACTGGATCTCCCTCGGGAGCTCCACCGCATGCCTGTTGAAGTAGTCCATGGTGATGGCGTTGTTCCAGTAGCTCAGGTTATTCTCCGGGTTGGCCGTCTTCTTCTTCCTCCTCATGCAGCACACTGTCAACAGGACGGCTGTGGAGAGAGCTCCAGTCAGAGAACAGAGCTGAGAGAGACAAGTGCCAAAGTCCCAGCGGGGTGCAGAGGAGGTGGTACTGTCCCCAGCCACTTAGCACATTCATTCATTTAATAGACTCCTGTATCCCAGGCTGGCCTTGAGCTCACTGTTTAATGAGGATGGCCTTCAATCTCTGATCCTTCTGAGTTCTGCCATCCCAGGTCTGTGTCACCATGCCTGGTTTAAGTAGAGCTGGGGACTGAAACCAGGGCTTTGCGCATGGAAGACAAGCACCCCAACAACTGCACTAGCCTTCACTTACTCAGTTGATTTCAACCTCTACCTTTCTGTTGAGCACCTACTGTGTGCTAGAAACTGTTAACAGTCGCCACTGCTTTCCTAAGCATCCATCCTATCGTGTGCTTGCAGCAGAGGCTAGATGATACATGGGTAAGAAGACCAATCAGGTGGCTTCAACACGGATGGCTACCCAGTGAAGACAAAATGGCCAAGTGAGAGAGGCTGCTTTCGTCCTGGTGATGGCCTCATAGCAAGGGAACTGGCATCATGGAGAGGAGCTGGCCACATGCAGAATGGTTATTATGTTCCAGGATTGGGGACCTGCATGTGCAAAGAAGGGAGCAAAGTGTGGACAGTCCGTGTGTGTGAGAAAAGGAGCAACATGGCAGGGAGTGTGAGGGGAGGTAGAGGGGAAGCCAGGGCAGCGTTGAGAGGTGTACCTCAGGGCTTGGGGCAGGGAGGCTGCGTGCATTTGGCGGGCCCTCGTGGTTGCTGCAATGCTGCACTTTTAATATGTGTCAAGCAAGGTCTTTGTTCGTCTGGTGGACAGCTCCCCAGCACCTGCTGCAAAGACCAGCGTGCGTGTTCTGGGCCCCACTCTTTGGGAAGACAGCAGCCGAAGCAGGAGGATGACAGAGATGCATTAGACAAAACCCCCAGGCTCATTTAAAAAGATGTGCACACGCAGTCATATAGGTTTTATGTTTCAGGGACATTACCGATACTGATTGCTTTAAATTTTCCTTTTGACCTTAAAGAGTCGATGTGAAGAGCCCATACTTTTCAGATAGAACAGTGGCAATTTTGTTGATAGGCGTAAGAGCACATCTGGATTTGAGGGCTCCAAAGTTTCTGGTCTTTAGCGCCTGGGGTTCAGCCTGAGATTGACACAAGGGCTCATCCTGCTGAGGGGACAGCAGCACAGCTCTTCTCAGGCTGCCCTCACACCGTGTGACATGTGACCCTTGTCTGTTCAGTCTCTGAGGCCGAAGAGTCCTGGAGGAAGGCGTGTGCATGGGCTCTGTTGATGACCCAGGTGCAAACAGTGGCTTTAGCACCGTCCCGAGGTGCATCTGTGGTTGAAGAGGTGGGGTGCCTCGTCTACACTCACACAGCAGAATGGTGGTTCATCATGGGAAGCAGTTAGGGAGGGGGTAAGTGTGTACTGCCTTGGTTCGCCAGCACCAGAACCTTCCACAGTGAAGGGGAAGAGTTAGGACTGTATGTACCTGACCAACAGACATCCTGAAGGTGCCTGGCTTCTCAGTGCCTGGGAATGCGGGCTCAGACTGCTCTGTTCAGAGGCCAGCACCAGGGGGCAGCAGAGGGCCAGCTCCCTGGGAAAGTCCACGGGTTTGAGCAATGAAGCCTGAGCACGCTGTCAGGATGTGGGCAGCAGCAGAAGCTGGCACATATGTGAGCTGAGACCTCAGAGCCCAGGCTCCCGCCCTAGGGGCTCCCTGGAACATTCTGCCACTTTCCTCCCCACTACTGGCCCTCTGGAGATCATCTCTAAACAAGGTCAGGAGGCAGCTTCCATTTGCATTTTGTCGCATCGGCTTTGGACAGAAGGACTTCCTTGTCATCGGCTAAGCAGGCCTCTAAAGTGTCTTGAGAAGCCCCTGGCGCATGGAGGGGACTTCCGAGTGGGCTCGTGGGGATTTCAGACACTGGCTGGCATCAGATTGTTCAAGTTTTGTGAATCTGTCTTTCCCCTGAATCCTTCTGAAACCCTTTCTTCACTGCTTGACAGAAGGGGAGGAAGCGCTGCAAAGTCCAGTACGGAAACAGCACAGTTAGACCACCTTTCCATTCTTCTGGGAGACACTATGGTTTGAAGAACACAGCTGGCTGTCACAGGGTCCCTTCCCTCCCTTCCTGTTACCTTTATCCCCTCATAGCCCAGTCTCTGCCTCTGAAACATCAGTGACAGAGACAGCCTTAGAGACTCCCAGTCCTGGGGCGAGAGGGATATGGGTGTTAGAACCCGATATTAACACGTTCCTGTGCTTTCTCTTCTCTTGGATAAGTCCACGGCAAAGAGAGGGAAGAGCTGGGTGTGTGGGCAGGTGTGTTTGATTCCACAAGCCATTTTTTAGGGCTGCAGGGCACTCCATAAAGCACTTGAGTGGCTGTAGATGGGGACTGGGATGGGTTTCAGCTCCTGTGCCCTGGATATAAGCCCACAAGCCTAAGGAAACTCAGGGGCTTAGTGTCTGGCTCCTTATCCAGACATGTGGGAACTGGGTGTTTAGAAGTCTAGCAGGGGACACTACCTTGAAGCCCAGAGGTAGCTATTTTATCTTGACCGGGTTATGGGCAGGATGACAATCCATGGACAACCCTGCCTTGGGGTAGCCATCTCTGTACCTTCTCCTCCCATTGGTCCATTGTCATAAGGAGACTGGGCACCTAGCCACACTTCCTTTGGGTCAGTTTCTCTGCTGCTTGGTAAGAATCAATCTAACCCAGGTTTTCTTAAACGGTAATGACAAAGCGAGTTAGGTCCTGTGAGTAAACATTGCATCTCTCGCTCTCTCTCTCTCTCTCTCTCTCTCTCTCTCTCTCTCTCTCTCTCTCTCCCTCACACACACACACACACGTAATGCACATGTGTGTATTTATAGTTAACATTCACTGAACAATGAACACAGCTAAGAATCATGGTCCCTATAACATGTCACCCTTGGAATATTGCACAAATGGCCCAGAGTCTAGAACAAGCCCTGTTTGGGGGCAAGGTACACTGCTAAGGTCACGGAAAAGCTCTCCTTGGCCCTGTCAGGTTGAACTTGGATTGGTGATGCAGCACGCCTGCAGTGTCCCTGGCTTCTTTGTTTAATCCTCCCCAAAGCTACAGCCTCCTCGTGAGGGTGTCTGGGAGAAAACGTGCAACCCTGTGAGACAGGCCAGGGAGCTCAGCTGAGCCTCCAGAGGGTTCTGTGACAGCCCAGAGCACCTACTGGTGAGCAGTGACCAATGGCAGGCCAGAGGCTGCCGACAGGAGGCAGCGCATTCTATGCATCCTGATGGTGGCAGCAGAGACCTGCTCAGCAGCCACAGGGCTCCTGGCCCTAGTTCGCAGTGGCCTGGAGCCAGTCAATTTCAGTTCTCAGCACATCTGAAACAGAGTTGGCAGAGAGTATCTGGCAGGGCTCAGGAGACAAAGCACTTCTCAACCCTGGCACACGGGTGCCCTTCCAGCCACTGGGAGGGCTTGTGATGCGGAAGGCGGGTGAGCTGCTGACCCTGCATCCATGTGTGGGCTCAGAATTCGCTCTTCTCATCACCGACTTCCACTAGAACCAGGGGAAATCACCCTAAGACAAGCAAGCATGGGGTGGAGAAAGCATAGCTACTGTCAAGTCCCCACTGAAGAAGACCCTCCTATACCACTGCTCCGCACAACCTGGTTTCTCTCCTAGCCCCTTTGCTAAAGGCAATAAAGTCTACATTCACACTTTGCTACCAGCCAGACTTTCGGGAACACTTGACAGTCTATCAAGGGATGGATCCACTGTGAGGGCTGTAGAGTAGCTTTGGGGTACAAAGACAGTAGGGAAGGTTGGGACATGGGTCTTGAGGAGGAGCTCAGTTTGTTTGGTCACTAGATAGGTAGGGCAGGACTATGGAAACATCCCAGACAGATGAGTATTTCTCTGAGCAGCACCTAGGGCTCTGAGATTGGAAAGATACTCTAAATATTCCCTGGCTGTGGTCAAGGATTGCCCATAGGCTGCCACCGAGGACACAGGGTGGATGTAGAGGCAGCCAGGACCCAGGTAGGAGTGAGGAACCACCTGTGTAAATGCGGAAACGCCACAAAAGTGGGCCCTGCTGTCTTTCACAGTCATGGGACTATGAAAGTCCAGCATGAACAAAATCAGATCTTTAGAAAGGGTGTCCTACCCCCGCCCCCCAGAACCTGAAGGTTGCTCTTGTAGCTCTGAATTGTCTGTGAGATGCAGTTTGAGGCTGTGTCTCTGTTCTTGCCTTGGTTGACATCAGTTTACCAACTGAGTGGTAGAGCATGGGTGCTGACCAAAGCCTCCTGCCACCTTGGCGCTGTGTATACTTGTTTATTTTGTGTAGACAGTGTAGGGATAGAATAAAACATACCTGAGGCTCTGGCTGTAAGCTAGAGCATCCGACACACTGGAAGATTATAAATGTGAGAAGTAATTGCTTTTATATTATTTGCTTATCAATAGTGCTATATTTTCTCCATCTCATCCCTCTTTTAGAAACAGGTAAGAAAAGCTTAAAAATTACATGTGTTTCCACCACAGACAATAAAGCTGCTCTCATGGAGCATGAGACACGGCCAACTTTACATGTTCCCTGCACTGGGTCCTGGAGCGGGAGTGGATTTCCAGCCCTGACACAAGGGTTTTCAGCAAAGCTGGGAGAAGAGGTGCTTGCAGTGAATCGATGAGTGGAACCCTGGCCATGGTAAGGGCCTGCTGCGGGAGCTCCTTCCGCTCCTTCGGCCAATAGCCACTGAGATACCAGCTCACTGGGGCGCCAGATCTCATTATAGATGGCTGTGAGCTGGGAATTGAACTCAGGACCTCTGAAAGAGCAGTCAGTGCTCGTAGCCTCTGAGCCATCTCTCCAGCCCCCAGTGGCTATTGGCTGAAGGAGCGGAAGGAGCTCCCGCAGCAAGGGCCTAAGCCTTCTGTGCTGCCCTGTGATGTGAGGGAAGGGTGACATCCTGGCTTCACAGCCTCCCTGTGGGAAGAAGCCTCAGGGCTTCATTTAAGATCAAGGTTCGTTCACAGGGTGATCAAAGCCTGATTAGCCAGCAGGGTTGATGCTGGCACAGGCTCTGTTAGCGTGGCTGACATGGTCCCCGCTGACTACCTGGTCTGCCTGGGCATGTATGGAAAGCTGCACTTCTAGGGACCAGGGATAAAGTGGTGACCATTCAGAGGTGGCAGATACAGTAGGTTTGGGCAGTGCAGTTCTATGAAGGAGATCCTGAGGGTCACGGATGAGGAGCTTGGGCCAAGAATTTTGTTCCCCCCAAAGTCACCCCAATGCCTCTGAGACTGAGGGGGATACCACTTAGGGACTACAGGGTAAAAATGACAAGGCAGACTCGAGGTTCTCAAGAGAGCGGGGCAGAAAAAGATAAGTCAGAGAACAGGCTGTCTAGGGGAGTGCGGAGCACTCAGTGACATCTTTAATGGTATCCATTTGAGGTAGGGTAGGGTCAAGTCCTGTGAAGATCCTCTGAGGACAGAGTAACACGCAGGAAGCCATAAAGGAGGCCTTCAGGTTCTGAGAGACCCTGTATAGTGGGTTCTTGGACATCTCCTGACACCTCCCTCTCAGAGGGATGGATGCTGCAGAGAGGTGCTGACTGTCATGAAGCAGAGAACTATGAGGTCCAGAGGACACAGTGCTCACATGACTATGAAGGGTAAAGCAGGCTGGGTAGTATAGGGATGGAGAAGAGCTAAAATCTGCGGAACTCCGAGGTCTTAATTCAGCCCATGCATTAAGAACTGCGTTGGCCAAGGCCGATGGGATTTCCCAGCACATGGAAGCTTTCTCTCAGGGGAAGGGGGAGAGAGGTAGAGGGGAGAGGAAAGACAGGTGGACAAGTGGGAAATGACAGTGACAACGTTTCCACCTGTAGCCCGTTAACTCTCCGTGGCCAACTGTCACCCATGGTACCCAGTTTCTTGAAACGGGGGGTACTCAACAGAACTCTAGGCAGGAAGGACCGATGCTTCAAGCAAGGGCTGCAGCCCTGCCACCCACTCCCTAACATCCGGATCCTAGGCCAACCAAGTCTCTTAGATAGTCTGGTGTTTCTATAACACGTGTGGCTAGCTAGGGAATTGGGACCTTATGAGCTATGACCAGGACCAGGACCGGGACCAGGGATGGGTGGGCCATGATTCTTGCCTTTCTGTCTCATTTGCCGAGAATCTGGGGTCTTCTGGTTCACTCTGTAGGGCTACCTAACTCAAAGGGCAGGAGGATCTGGGGGATGGGAAAGCTGCCAAGAGAAAGAGGAGGGAAGAGAGCTGGGTACTTACAGCAGGAAGAGATGGGCACACTGATGGCTAGGATGACCCAGGCAATATCCATCTTGCTCAAGCAGATGGTGGCTCTGTGCTGGGGCTTGTCCCCTTCAGCCACGTGGGAGATGTTGCCCACTGTTCCTGGCTTCCAGGTCCCAGCAGGGACCAGGCGGTTGAGGAAGTTACCTGTGGCTGTGGACAGCACTGTGGAAAGGGGTCTTGGCCCCCGGTCGGTTGTTGTGGGGGAGGCCTCAGCCTTCTCCTCACCTGGAGAAACAGTGCTTTCTGAGACCCCAGAGGGCCAAGTTGGGGCCTGAGGGGTTGCTGATGCTCCCTGAGGGATGCCCTGGGAAGGGACTGAGACACTGACATCAAAGGCAGCCTGGGTGGGCCCTGTGGCAGCCGTGAAGACCCCAGAGCTGGCAGACAGGGGTCTGTCAGTGTCAGGGGTGACAGCAAGCCAAGAGTCACTGTGGCTAGGGCTGTCGTGCATGTCACCATGAGGGCGCTGAGAAGGCACTGAGGCAGGCTGTGTACTGGCAGGGACACCTGAGGCTGCTGTGGCATCCGGTTCCCCTGCTGGGCTGGTAGGTGTGGGGCCACTCCCCTGGTTGGCTCTGATAAGGCCTGGCTTGTCCTTCACAGGCACCAGGGCTGTGGGAGGAACCCACAAGGTGCTTCTGGGTGCTGTGGCTGGAGACACGGTCTGGGGCTGCGGTGAAGAGGAGTAGCCCCAGAGTGGGGTCCTGGTGGTAAGAGCAGAGGGGTCTGGCTCCACAGACCCCGAAAAGTTACCCTTGTAGATCTGGAATATTTTCCCCAGAGGACGCTTCTGCCCCGGGTATGTTGAGCTCTGATTTCGGCCCCTCTGGCCTTCCTTCCTTGCTGAGTGGCCACTGGGTACAGGTAGGAGAGGACGAGATGAACCACCAGCCCCCTTCCTGGAAGAGCCTGGGGGTCTGGGGGGCCTACGAGTGGTGGCCCGTGGGGACACTGTGGGGCGGTTGGTGGTTCCTGCTGGCTTTGTTGGCAGGACGGTGGGGGCAGCGTCCCCTGGGGGGCGGCCCTCTGAGTGGGAGGATGTGGTTGCCATGGCAGCTGAAGGGGAACCTGTGGGCAGAGGGCTTTCAGGATGGGGGATGGCAGCTGTCACAACAGTGGATGTGGTGTCTGTAGGAGGCTGCCTTTCTGGATGAGATACTGTTGTTTCCATAGTAGCTGCAGCCTGCGAGGTGCGTCCATCAGGTTTGGGGTTCAGTGTCACCACGGAGGAGAGTCTGGTAGAGCTGTGAGGTGCTGTCACCATGGTGCCTGGGGGGCTGCCTGAGGGAAGGGTCTGCAAAGATTCCCTGGGAGATGGTTCCTGGACGGCGAGTACCAGTGCTTTGGTCAGTGCCAAGGTCAGGAGGAAGCCTGGAGGGGGAGGAAGAGCAGAGCGGTGAGGAACAAAGGTGTTGTACACACAGCCAGGCCACCCTCACTGAGGACTCAGAGGAAGCCCTGGGGATGCAGAAAGGCTATCTGGAGCATTCCTCAGGCCACACTGGTACCCTGGCACTCAGACATAAGAACTGCATGTACAGCCGGGGACGACTCCACAGAGGGAGGAAGGATGCTACTTATCACAAGACAGCAGCACCAGGTGATCCTGAGTCAATCAGACCATTCAATCCCACCCTTTCTCCAATTCCCACCAGCCCTCTACCTCAGTACACTGTCTTGGAAGGGGAGCGGGAGCCTGGGAGGCTTGTCACTTCTATGCCACCTGCAGCCACCCACAGCTGGGGAGTAGTCAAGGCCAGCCTGACCTGTGAGCCACTCAGAGCCAACTGGGGAAGACTTGGGTGGGGGAGCTTACCAACGCCTTTTCTTTTTCTTGAACAAGAACACAGTGCCAATGTCAGATCTCTGCTCATTCAGATTCGCTTACCCCATACTTCCCTTCCTGGCACAAATAGGGCAGACTCTCAAGTAAAGCAATGATGCCCTGGTGCCATAGGGGCAGGATGGGTAGAAGAGGGCATGGGTTCAGAGAAGGGTAATCAGATCTAGCTTCCCTAACACCATAGTAGAGTCTAGGATGGAAAATCCTAAAGGAAGACCATTGGCTACTGGGGGTTTGTCGTCAAGTGCTTTCCCCATGGTTCCTCCTGTAGCTGAACTTGAGGAAGTCTGCATTGGTACTGTCTGGTCTTTTTGAGTAGGAGGAGCCCTTCTAAACAATACAAAGAGGGCTGTGTAACAATGGATGCCTTATAAGTTTTTTGAGAAAATGCAAAAGCATAACATTCTATGAGTCTGAAAGCCTTCCTAAATATAAATGATTATAAAGTCGCAGCACCACTGGGCAGCGGTGGAGCCAGCCTTGAATCCCAGCACTCGGGAGGCAGAGGCAGGCAGATCTCTGTGAGTTTGAGGCCTGCCTCGTCTATAGACTGAGTTCTAGGATAGGCTCCAAAACTACACAGAGAAACCCTCTCTTGAAACCCTCACCCCCGCCCCCCGAAGAAAATCACAGCACCATGTGCCGGTATGACACCCTGCTGTCAACAGAACGCATGGGGTCATTGAGATTGTGGGCTGCTGTAGCACACAGGTTAGGGAGAGCCGCTCTCTGTGGCTGATGGGTGGCGGGACACTTTGAAAAGGCCTGAGTCTGACTTCTTAACACCCTTTGCATCCTTGGACTTCTTTCTGGGGTCTAGATGGGGTTGAAAAGAAGTTAGAGATCTGACAACTCTGTCAGAGCCCTTCTGCATGTCACCATGCTCTAGCAGGGCAAGTGGCCACACTGGTGTCATGGGCAGGAATTCTGGGATGGGCAGCGGTGGGAGGCAGGGATTCACAGGAGTTTGGTGGAGATGGCGGACTTTGGCTAGCCTTAAGGAAGCGGAGATCGAGGAACTTCAGTGTGCCCGGAGTACCACTCAGTGTGTGGTGGGTTTTGGAATAACCCTTGGACCTAATATTCACAGCTAAGCTAGTACTGGGGAGGTTGGCGGGCCTCGTCTTTAACAGAGGCAGGGCCAGTGGCCACGCTAAGCAAGCCAGTTTTCTACACTTTCATTCACAAGTCAGTCCACACACTTGCAGTACATTCTGCTCATTCAAGTCAGTCCTGCAACCACGTTAACTTTCATCCTAGCAACCGCAACCACGCTAACTTTCAACCTAGCAACCGCTTGACAAGGTGGGAAATGAAAGCCCAGGGAGGCAAGGGAACATGTGTGAAGTCACAAAGTCTCAGAAGCATGTGGAACCAGGGCTGTCTCTAAAGCATATGCTTTTCCTAGTGAACTGCCACCAGTGATGCAGGGGAGGCAGAGACCCATCAGCTGTGCCCATGGCAGAAGCAAAATGCTGCACTGCTCTGATCTGTTCAGGGTTACTATCCCAGCCCCATAAACTCACACCTTGTAGCTTGTCACCATGGGGGTGGTCACAACCTTTGATGTGCGAGAAACACTCTGCTACAAGTTGGTCTCATGACCGTTCAGAGCTGAACTATGCTTCCTCTCCCTGCAAATGCCAGAATCTCAGAATGCGACTATTTGGAGAGAGGCATTCAAAAGGGAGATTCAAATGAACAGAGGCCAATAGGATGAACCTTAACCCAATTTGACTGGTGTCCTTCTAAGAAGAGATGGGTTTCCAGGGGCACAGACAGATCCTCTTGTGAGGGCAGAGCAGCAAGGAGGAGGCCATCAGTGATGCAAGGAAAGGGTCTCACCCCTGTGACCACAAGAATCCAACCCTGGTACTACTTTGATCTTGAAATCCCAGACTTCAGAAGTTTTAGGGAAATAAGTTTCTTGTGTAGGCCATTCAGAGAGTGCTATTTTGTTAAAGCAGCCAAGTACAAACATTTTATATCAGAGCCCTTCTGAAAGGGAGGAGATGGAGAGGTAGGGCGGGCGGGTAAGTGGTTTACACTGGAAGGTGATGTGAGGGTCAGTCAAGGGGGCTGAAATGGTTGCAACAGGGAAACCTGACCCAAGAGAAGCTGTGAGCTGATGGAAGTGCCTCAATCTTCCTGGGAGCACCCCATAGCATGTGCCCAAAGGACACTCCCCCAGACTCTCACCCCTACTTCTTGGGTGCTCATCCTACCCTCCACACCCTTTGGGTATCACAAGACTGAGTTAGGGAGGTCTTCAGTCCAGGGACTGGCAGGCCATAACTATGTCCATTTGGTGGCTGCTGCTTCGCTAGAGTTAACATTAAGTCCCGCTGAGCTGGAGCACAGAATGTATCTGGTAGTCACAGCCCTAGAGCCAAGGACATAATATTGTTTTGGCTTCAGAGTCAACAGCACAGAGTTTGGGAAGAGACAGATGCTAACCCCAGGGACAAGCACACAGTGGGAAGGAGAGCTACCTGGCTTCCAGGAGAATGTTAGCAGATATCCAGAACTAGGCTTATGTTTCTCTGGGGTTTAAAATGGCTAGAGAAAGAAATTCTGCCGATTTCCCCACTAGGAGCCCACAGGGGCTCAGATCACCCCAGCCAGACCCCTTGACTGGAGTTCCTGTAGAATCTAGCTGACTGTCCTTACTGCCGCTGCTCTTTGGGTACCAGGCTCCCCAGACATTTCCTTCCTCCATCATGTATTTAGTCTCCAATCTTTGCTGCTATATATGCATAAATGTATTCCTGGGTGCCCTGGGGCTTTGAGCTTTGGTTAACATAATGAGGGGCCCTAGAGGTCTGCTAAATCAACTTCTTCACTATACAGAGAGGTGACCCAGAGGTGTGGCGCTTGCAACAGCACTTGGCTGGTTGGGGAGTGTGCTCTGAATCGAAACATGCCCTGAGACTCAAAAGACTCCCAGAGCTCCTGACACTTAGAAAACTGCCATGGCACTTCCCCTGGATTATGCGAGTAACAGATGTTGGCAAGGAAAGAGGAGACTTTGTTGGAACCTGCTGGGAAGCTTCAGGGACTCTGGGGGTGCACCTTTTGCCGAGGTGGGGCTTTGAATGACACACGTTCCAACCCATCAGTTCACCAAGTTAGGTTTTGGGGGAATCATTTCTTAGGTTTGCTATTGTGCCCCGAATGGGGCCACTAGACATTTGTTCACGTCTCCCCTGAAAAAGTCACACAACAAGGAGACAGCCTGGATCACAGCCATTATTTTAAAAATAAAAAATTTCATTTGTATCATAAAATAGCTACAAGGGTTGAACTGTCCAACTCCTTCAACCTTACTGTCAACCTTGAATATGGAAATGAGACAAGAGCTTACACCCTTTCTCCTTAGCACAAAAGGTTAGCAAATGAAGGCTGTGACGTGTACTGTCACAGTGAATGTGCAGGGCCTTCAACCAGGGGCTCTGCTAACACATGCAAATTTTCATTCAAGGCCCTTTGTACTGGTCTACACACTCCCCCTCCCCACAATCTGGAGTGACTGCCTCTTTACATATCATTTGCATGGATTTGCATAATAGACTCTGGAGACTCTAATTCCAAATATGTAAGAGTCACTAAAACTAAAATCTAGCTTGACATACTTAAAATGTAGAGCCAAATTTAAAAAATGTGTCAGAGTGAGGATAAGTATGGGGGGATGGGGGACAGTGGGAGCCCACAGACTGATGGGTGCCCAGATGTCACAGGAAGGCCTCCTCCTCTCTAGAATTCCCATGCACATGTCATCTCCAAGGATGGAGATGGCATCCTCCTCCTGTGTGTTTGGTTGACTGCCCACAGTCCGTATTGGGCACTGGCATTTGCATCTGGCATAGGCAAGGAAGCGGCTGGAAGGACAAACCTTTGCAGGCACATCTGTCCTCGTGGCATCTGGACAGAGTGCTCTTAACTCCATGTTGCAATCGATAGAGGGAAGCCAGAGGACCTTGTTGGTAGCCACACAGCCGAGAAATGGTGAGCTGGAATTCAGCAAACCTGGCTCTAAGGATTCCATTTCAACCACTTCCGCTTAACATGCCTTTTCTTTTCTTTTCTTTCTTTTTTTCATTGATTTTTATTGAGCTCTACATTTTTCTCCGCTCTCTCCCCTGCCTCTCCCCTCTCCCCTTCAACCCTCCCCCAAGGTCCCCATGCACCCAATTTACTCAGGAGATCTTGTCTTTTTCTACTTTCTACTTCCCATGTAGTTTAGATCTATATAAGTCTCTCTTAGTGTCCGCATTGTTGTCTAAATTCTCTGGGATTGTGGTTTGTAGGCTGGCTTTCTTTGCTTTATGTTTAAAAACCACCTATGAGTGAGTACATGTGATCATCATCTTTCTGTGTCTGGGTTAACCTCACTCAAAATAATGCTTTCTAGAACCATCCATTTTCCTGCAAAATTCAAGCTGTCGTTATTTTTTTCTGCTGTATAGTACTCCATTGTGTAAATGTACCACATTTTCCTTATCCATTCTTCGGTCAAGGGGCATTTAGG